AGTGTTTAGGTATTTTAGTTAGAATTTAATTACCAAAATAGTATTGTCTACTACCTTTCTAAACTTAAAAAATTAAAGGTTTTAGTTTGAACTAACATCTACTGGCGCTTTTGCTGAAATTTTTAATATGCCTAAACCTAATTAAGTTCAACCACTAGGCATTTCATACACTAGTCCATAGGTCATACTAACTTGTAGAAACAAAACATCTAAGAACTACTTAACTAGTTAGTTCAATATAACTCGCAAAGAATGATACTTTTAAACATAAATTCAAGCGTTTGCCGTCTTAACGAAATTCGATCTTTGAGCTCCCAAAGCACTAGTTAACAACATCTATTTCCCAAAAGTTAATGATGCATTTCCATCTACTAAACTTGTTCTTAAATTTTTATTTAAGTACTAGATACAAGTTATGTTTTATTCTTGTGTATAGAAATTGCTTTTCGTGCCAAACAATTAAAACTATATTTTCCTATTTTCTTGTTAGGATTTTTATTAGCGCATCTAGGTAACTACTCACTACGTTAATAGATCTACCTCTCAGGTCATAATCTCAGTGCTTAGCGAGCTTGTAACACCAGAGGTGTTACAGATTTATTGTGAGAGAAAAATATTTTTCGTTGGTTGAAAAAGTACGGCTTATAAACCAAGCGAATAGGGCGAAAGCATGCATGTAGAGCATGCATTTGTACTGGTATAGGCTACTAGGCGCTGCTACGGTCTATATGGGTACCAACAGATTCCCATTTGCTGCAAACCTCGATGGGTACGGAGTATTATCTAGTAGGAGTACTATACATACATTGGTCCCGTTCGCTTCGCTAAAAAAATAGGTCGAAATATTGTTTCGGCTAATTGTTGTGAGAGAAAAATACTATTCCAACTAAAAAAACAGGTTGAAATATATGGATTATATAGAAAAGCGAACATGACCATTAGGCTCAATCAGAGAGAATGCAGAGCTAGGAGAGGACTTCATTGATGATGATACTTCGATAGCAAGGGTGGCAACTGATGACAAGTCCAAGAGCTACTTTATTTTCTCCTTATAGTTGCCTAGATATTACTGGTTCGGCAACAAAAAATGAGAGGACGTGTCGAATCGCAAGAAATTAATTGAAGCCACAAGTTTTTAGCTAGCTGGCTGGTTCTCCTTGTGAACTAACGTACTCGCACTCGCTAGCAAGCAAGTACCAAACGCATGCATGCGTATTCCACGATTCTTTCTGCCGGGGACGACGGGGGGCACAGCAGTGCACAGTGCACTGGATCCAAAGCATGAAAATAATATAGGGCCTTGTTTAGATTGGGGTTAGAAATCAGTATTTGGTACTGTAGCATTTTCGTTTGTATTTGACAATTATTGTCCAATTATGGCCTAACTAGGCTCAAAAGATTCGTCTCGTAATTTACAATCAAACTATGTAATTAGTTATTTTTTTATCTATATTTAATTCTCCATACATGTGTCCAAAGATTTGATATGATGGAGAAAGAGTGAAAAAACTTGCAATCTAAACAAGGCCTAGTCTTTGAGGTGGCAAGTGGCAAGTCACGTGAGTTTTGTACTCACACCGTCTAGAAAAGAACATAACAACGGGTTGCGCGTCGATAAAAGTAGTTCGTATTTAACTAAATTTCTAGTGAATACTATTCATATTTACGGCTCTAAAATAATTTATTATAAAAATAAATTTCGTAATTAATCTAATGATATCCATTTGATATAATAAATATTAATATATTTTTATCTATAACGGATCAAACTCAAGATACTAAACAATGGTACTGTGCTAAATTACATTCTTTGCAACGGAGTACAACAGCAAAATAAGAACACTGCAGCATTGCGTCGGTGCAGCAGCATGCAATGCATGCAGCCGGTAAGTACGCTGGTACTACGCGTACGGCTGTCACGGATCCTTCAGAGTGAGTGACCACACGTCAGCCATGCCACTGCCAACTGGCAACTGGCTACTACTGGCCTCGGCATGTGACTCTGTTTCTTCACCCTTGAGCCAGCATATTTTGGTTTGGTTTGGGTCCCCTAGTTCTCTTTTTTGCTCAACAATAGCTAGCTAGTCACAGATTCAGATTCAGGCCACGTTTAGTTGGAGGCCGGATTCGGCGCCGCCGGATTCGGCGTTACCGTAGATGCACTGTAGCGTTTTGTTTTTATTTGGTAATAATTGTTCAATTGTTGACTAATTAGGCTCAAAACGTTCGTCTCGCAAAGTACAACCAAACTGTGCAATTAGTTTTTGATTTCGTTAACATTTAGTACTCCATACATGTACCGTAAGTTTGATGTGATGGAGAATCTTCTTTTTGCATAATGCCAAATTCAAAAAATCTGGGGAACTAAACATGCCCTCAGATGAGACTCGCATCAGCTGAACGTGAAAGCCTGCAGAAAAAACCTTTTCCAAAAAAAAAAAACCTGCAGAAAACTCTCTCTCTCTCTCATCAGCTGAATGTGTGAAAGCCTGCAGGGAACTCTAGTGACGCTCAGCTGACTAGGCGTCTATACCAAGAATGTGGCAACGACAATGCCAAATGCCATGAGCTAGCTAACCGTGCCTCTTGCAATGTCAAATATGCCATGGCTCGCTCACATCCACTGTCTTTGCTTTGCCACTTGTCAGTCCATTTGTCTTAGAAAAAAGACATCCATGGGCATGGCCCGAGGGGGAAACGGGAAGCAGTGGTTAGTTGTTTCTTGGCGACAGTGCCCGGTAGCAAACACAGCCTATATTATTTTATTCTTGGCATTGGCAAATATAGTAATGAAACGTTTATAATAAAACGGAACGATCGGATCGACCATGCGACCTATTTAAACGTGGGGCGCAGAATTTAAAAACCATTGTTGTATCAAAGGGGTATGGTTCGTTCATTCGTCACTCCTGTTACTGTAGCGAGAGGTGAGAGGAGGGTGGGGCAGGGCATCGCCGTTGTGTGCGGTGACGCGGCATACGTGTTTGGTTTTCCGGTCTACCTCTTGCCTAGGCTCCAACAATTAATACTATATTTCGTCTTGTTTGGTTTTTTTTTTTTAGGGCGCGTTTAGATGCAAAAGTTTTTGAGTTTTGACTACTGTAGCACGTTCGTTTGTATTTGACAATTAGTGTTTAATTATATACTAATTATGTTCGAAAGTTTCGTCTCGCGATTTCTCATCCAACTGTGTAATTAGTTTTTTTTTCGCCTACATTTAGTACACCATGCATGTACCGTAAGATTCGATGTGATGGATACTGCACAAAAAATTTTAGGTTTTGAGGGAACTAAACAGGCCCTTAGAGCCGGAGGCCTGGCCTAGCTAGGTAAGCCACCGACCACCCCAGGCTAGGCTTGCTGGAAATGCGAGGGTTGAGCATTCCTAGCTGATGATCAGGCTTAGCTACATAGTTGTATGACGTCTTCTCACCACCCCCAAGTCCCACCTTCGCTTCTACCCCTTGTCGACGCATTGTCCTCATCGAGAGGGTTCCTCGCCAACGCGGCCTCGTCGCCGAGGAGCCATCCTCGCCGAACCAGGCTTTTGCATCGCGGGAACCAGGCTTTGTCTACTCTTTTTCCTTGTCTACTCTAGCTTAGTTGACTAGCCAGATCGGGTCTGATAGCGCAAGTACTGAGCCGACTACTCACCCCCTATAAACAACCATCTATTAAATCATAAGGCGACTGAGCATGCACATGCAGATGCGACTATTCATCCCGCGTTTCACTGCAGATTCTGTGGCCCTCTTGGCTCATGGACCTCAAATAAATAACTGTGGCATGTGGCATGTGGCACGCGGCCCACGCTGCACCGCGGCAAGCCGGCAATGCCGCGAGGACTTGAAACCCAAATTGAAACTGGGGCAGGGGATGGAAAGAATTGGGATACTGCGTTGGGCCACTAGCGCTACCTCATGGAGGCCCAGACCGTTTGCGCCTAAAAGGAATCCGATCCGGTCGGCCCACCACCGTGACGAGGAAACAAAATTGGATCGGTTGTCATTTTTATAGTCCGACTACAAGAAGATGTATATACGACAACAATGTCGTCGTCTCATCGCCTCCTTCGTCTTCAACCAAACCAGAATTCCTCTTCTTCTTGTTGTTCGTTGAAATCTTCAACTGTGCGATGATGATGGTATATCTTGGCATGTTCTTTGTTATATACGCAAAGCTGTTTCAGTTAACAGTTTTCAAATTGCTAACTGCATAGTTCCCACAATGTTACACATAATTATTATACTTATGTTTGAGAGAATTTTTCTTGAACAGCATTACTTGCCCCGCTTGCGCTCGAGTTTCATAATAAACAAGTTACGGTGTTTCCAGTTTGCGGATTCTTGTACAGAGTTGGTTCGTCACCACCTTGTTCAACATAGCTGCTAACTTTGGATCTGTTCATCGGTACACCTGAGCATCTTCCACACACAAAAAAAAAACGTCTGCCATTTTCCTTCCCAGTTTTATACATGCTCTATTTCTCACACAGATACCATCTGCATCAATCGAACACATGGAAATAGACAAATCAAATAGTTGAGTTCAGATGCTGGTTATAATCGCAGCTCTCTCTCATTCCAGCCAATAGACTGCAGCAACCAGACATGCATGATTTGGATTTCACATAAAAGATTACAAGAAACAAGAACTATCAAGTGTCTATGTAAGTATCAGACAAGCTCAAGAAAAGAAATTCAGTTGCAATTGATATGCCAAATCAAACAGGATTTACAATGCCAGGGTGAAAGTATTCCCCTGTGTTCTTTAAGCACCACAAGATTTTCTAAAAAATTGCAACATTGACCCGGTATAAATTGGGTCATTAGCAGTTCAACGGTGAGGGAAAAAAGAACAAGAGCTACTTGAAATAGAGCTACAGCTTACAACAGAGCATCACCAGTCATCACAGTGTACGCCTCCGAACTGATCTTCCTCCTTTCATACACCAGCTTGCATGCACCGACCCACATTACAAAACTGAAAGGAAAACAACTCTAGAAGAATTCAAACTCCAGAAAGTTATCTGGGCCCTTCTGGTTGGCGGCTGGAGCAACCCTATCGTTAGCTGGGGCCGGCTTCGGTGGGCGATCCAGCTCAACAGGCTTTGGTACATCTGGAGGGCTTGCACACCGTATCAACGCCCAATTCATGCCCTCAAAGAACGGGTGCTGCTTGATCTCTGTAGTCCCTCGTTTGTAGCCAAGACGATGCTGCGGGTCTTTGACCAGCAATCCTCTTATCAAGTCCCTAGCTGAGAAACTCACAATTGGGGACTCTGGGAACCGCAGGGGCTGACCAACAACGTTGAAGAGTGTAGCCCGGTTTCCTGACCCCTTGAAAGGGGTCTTACCAAATAGGAGCTCGTAAAGGAATATACCAAAGGTCCACCAATCCACAGCACTGCCATGGCCTTCTCCCTTGATTATTTCTGGTGCCAAGTACTCATGGGTGCCAACAAATGACATAGAGCGAGCATCAGTCGGCTCCGCAATGAGCTCGGGCAGCGGGCTAACTTGGTTGACAATCTCAGGCTTCGGCTTTGGCTTCTTCTCCTTCTTGGACTTGGATTTGGAGAAAAAACGGGGACCAAAGCAAGTAGTCGGAGCAACACACGCGGGCTGGATGCAGGATGGCTCGATACAAGAAGGCTGCACACAGTATGCTTGGTTGCTCCTCTGCAGTGCATCTGGTCCAGGGTTGGCAGACTTGACAACAGTAGGGCTTACGTCACAACGAAGTGAGAGGTCAAAATCAGAGAGCATGATGTGCCCATCCTCCCGAACAAGGACGTTCTCCGGCTTCAGATCACGGTATATAATCCCAAGCATATGCAGGTACTCCAGTGCGAGGAGAACTTCAGCTACATAGAACCTTGAAGAAATGACTATGAGCATATTTGTAGTATGATCTGAGGTGTTGGATTATATGTAACAGTAAAAATATACTACAGTACAAGCTCAAAGTAAGGGATACATTCAGAGGCGAATGCCAGGATAATTAAATATGATCAAGCTACTACACTGGACAGTACTAACAGAAAAGGAGAAAATGGAAGCAGCAAAGAAAAATAATCAATATAGGACTAGTAAACTTCAAAAGAAAATTAGGGCCGGTTTAGATCGGGGTTAGGAATCGGTATTTGACACTGTAGCACTTTCGTTTGTATTTGACAATTATTGTCCAATCATGGCCTAACTAGGCTCAAAAGATTCGTCTCGTAATTTACAATCAAACTGTGTAATTAGTTATTTTTTTTATCTACATTTAATACTCCATGCATGTGTCTAAAGATTTAATGTGATGGAGAAAGAGTGAAAAAACTTGCAATCTAAACAAGGCCTTAATATTTGCAGTATATATACAAGTACTGTAATTTTAAGAGTTGAAACATACTTGGCTGCTTGCTCTGAAAAGTATTTTCCAGGCTGCCTTTGTCGAAGGGTGTGCAGGTCCCCTCCTGGACAGAACTCCATCACCAAACATGAGAATTTTTCTGTCTCGAAGTGGGTATACAGTGTAGGAAGAAACGGATGGTCCAAAGATTGCAGTATCTCCCGCTCTGTCTGCGCTCGAAGAAGCTTCTTCCGGCTCGCCAATGACCCTTTGTCCATGACCTTCATGGCAAAGTAACTCTTCGTGCCATTCAATTCAGAGAGGTACACGCTGCCAATATCACCACAGCCCAGCTTCTTAAGCAGCCTAAAGTGGCTCAAACCCAAGATGCCATCCCTCGACCTTATCACTCGGATGGCTTCCCACCTAGAATCACTCCCCTTGTGCGGCTTCGTCGTGCTGCTGCTCATGCTGCTGCACGAGCTCTCATCGCTGATGTTGCTGCCCGCGCTCGGGCGGCACATGCTACTCTTTCCACTCTCTGGAAAATCAGCCCGGTCGCTGATCTTAGCACTGCCGCTGGTCTTCCTCAGGCTGTTGGCCCCATCGCTGGCCTTGGCAGAAGCAAAGCTCTCACTCATGCTGCTCTTCTGCGACGTATTCTTCTCCTGATTGCCACCACTGCAGTCCAAGCTCTGGATATCCTTCACTTCCCCAGAATCGCCGTGCGGGGTTGGCGGCTCGTCCAGGACACCGCAGTCTGAGCAAACACTGGACGGACCCTTGTCCAGCATTGACGCAGAAGACTCTTGCCGCCGATGGGAGGCCTTTTGTTCCTCCAAGACATTCTTAGCGGCAGCAAGCTCCGGCGCCCCGTCCATTGCTTTCTTCTCCTCCTTTGCAGGAACTGGATCCGCAGCCGCTGGTTTAGTAGCCTGGTGCCCAGGCACGTTGTGCTTGGCAGCCTCCACGGTCTGGTCACAAGGAGTTCCAGCAGTGCAGATCAATCAGACGAGTGAAGATCCAATTTTAACTTCACTTTATACAAAATCTAGCAAGACTGGTCACTTCTCAATTGAGTTCCTTGGCATCTACAGAAACAATGAAGAACAAAGAACAGTATTTATATCAGCAGGTAGTATACTGATAAGAGCCGTCTTAAAAGCAGAGTTGTTGACAAAGAACTGGTAACTGTACAGGAATTTGAATTTAACAGCGGACACAAGAACACATATCAAACACCACAAAATTGCTGGGAGAGACTAGCAGCCCACCCACCGGGTGAGAACTGGGAAACCTAAAGCATTCATAGAAACGCTCAAATAACAAGCTGCTGCAGCTGCACGCAAGATTTGCGGGCAGGGAGCAAGGAGATAGGCGCAAGCAAGCAGCCGCACCTAGAGGAAGCCTGAACCACCGCACAGATCCAGCACCCGGCCCATTGCATCAGCGAAGAAGAAGCAGCAAAGGGCACCCGGCACAGCACTATGAACAAGGCCCCAAAGATCACAGAGAGGCGCCAGCGTTTGGCAGGAAAGGAGACGGGGGTGGGGGACGAATGTGGGCGTGGCTCCACGAGGGGCCAGGCCGGAACAGGAGATTAATAAGATTAGCAAGAAAAGCGCTGGCTAGCTGCAACCTGGACCGGAACAGGTGGCGGAATCACGAGCGCCTCCCCGCTTTCTCCCCTCCCCTTGGAAAGGAAAGGAAGTGGATCACACCGGAATCACAGGAGGTAGGCACGGCAGGCAGGCTACGAGCAGCAAGCACATCGACATCGGACATCTGCTAGGCGCGGAACGTGGAGCGGAGGGAGGCCATTAAATGCGTCAAGAAAAGGGGAACAGAGGCACAGAGCAGATGAAGAAAGTGACGGGCGGCGGCGGCGGCGGCGGCATTGCATCGACAGATGAACAAACAAGAAACGCGAGAAAGAAAGAGACCAACGTTGGAGGAAGTGATGGGGGAAGGAGGGACGGACGGCACCCACCCCACCCCCAATCAGTCAAATCAATCAGAGTCAGTCAGGGACGCAAGAAGCAACCATAGCCAGGGCGGGATGGGAAGGAAGGAAGGGCAGCGAGCGTACCTCTGCTAGGGGAAGGCGGCCATGGCGGCGGAACGGAATGTGGTCCTGCGTCCTGCCCGGCGGCCGGCCTGCCTCTGCCTCCGCTGATGCGCGAGCGACTCCTATACAGGATTTCGCTGCAGAGTGGTGGTGGTCATGTTGGGGATGGCGAAAGGCAGCAGATTTAATAAAGTGGGGGCGGCATGGGCGCTGCCACCTGCCGGTGCGCGGTGTGGGGAGGGAGTAGGGCTGCGGTCAGGGTCAGTCAGAGGGGTCAAGGTTGTGCAAAGACGAGAAGGGTCAAAGCTGGCCTGTTCTGCAGGACTGAAAAATACTGTTCCGGCTGATTGTTGTGAGAGAAAAATACTGTTCTGGCAGAACGTGAACAGTGATTTCGTGAGTGGCGAAACAAGCCAGCCGGCTGGCTTTAAGCCAGCCGAACACGCCCGGCCTATATACAAGTGGCGTCGAATCGATCTGGGCGTGCTCTGCTGACCCACTGTCAGAGACCAGAGAGCACTTGGTGGTGCTTTGTTGTTCTTTTCTCTCTGCTCCCCTTTCTTTTTCCCTTTTTTTTACTCACATGTCAGATGTTCACTCACTCACTCACCCTCCTCGAGGCCTGGGCAACAGTCCCAGTTTTCAGTTTTGACCCACCCAACCCAGGGTCACTTTTGGGTGCAGACCCCAAGGTGATTACTGTATTATCCAACAGTAATTACTGCTACCGTAGTATTTTAAACTTTGACTACAAATAACTTCTTTTGGGTTGAGTTTGAAAATATGAAAGTGATGTAAGTAGATTCATCTCGAAATGTAGTTTCATAAAAATATATTGACTATATTTTATAAATATTTTATAGCAAAAAGTAGGAGTCGTCCTACTTTCTTTAAAGACCAATGTCGATGGGCTAAAAAATAGGTGAAGCTCTTATTATCCAACAGTAATTACTGCTACCGTAGTTACTGAGCTACTGGTATAGTGGTACTCTACTTCTAAAAAAAAAAAGTAACACAAGGTAGGAGTCGTCCTACTCTTTAGCAATGGCAGGGCTAAAAAACGGTGAAGCTCTTTTTTTTTTTTGGCTGAAGCTATTTTATTGTAAGAGAAAACATTGTCCAAAATGATAAGCCGTGCTGATAAGTTCAAGCGATCAGGGACTAGTCAAAAATGGTTTTGGCTTCACCATGTTTTTCTTCAAAAGTCGTTTCCGTGTGCGCGCGCATGTTTAGCAAGGCTTTTGATTAAACTCATAAAGAAGCCTCAACAAAAAAAAAAAGCAAAATAAATGGCCGAGATACAACTCCCTCAATCCTAGAAAAAATGAAAATTTGGCTTCTCACGATCATAAGGGCAATCCCAATGGTGCATTGATGATGATTTCTATCCTCATTAAATGACTTGTCACGTAGGCAAAACGTTGACATGGTAACGTAATTAATGAAGAAATAGAACAAAAATCATAGAAATGGTTTCTTCATGAAGAAATCAGGTCTACTCTTGACCTAATGCACCAAGAAACCATGAAATCGCCATTGGGGAGAAAAACCACCAGTTTCTAGGGTACTCGTGTCGCACTCCCATTGGAGAAAGAAGATAGAGTTGGGAGAGAGAAAGAGAAAATAATTATTACTCATAGAAACCATGGGTTGGAAAACAGTACTTTTTTAGTGCGGTATCCTATGTTATAGAAACTACTAGTTTCTTTTCATTGAGACTACCCTAACAATCTCAAAATTGACTAGGTTTATGTGCATGGTAGTATTAAAAACTGTAGTATCTTTTAATAATGTAAACTAGATTCCATATATTTTTGCGCACAAAAAATACTAATACTCTATATATAAGTGGTCAAACTAAGAAATATTTAGCTTTTCAAGGAGTATAGCGTTTTTCTCTCGTAATAAATCAGCATCAGCCGATTTATCGGTCGTAGAAACTATCAACCGAAATGTATTCTTTTAGCAGTGAGTGAGTAGTGTTTCTTGGCAGCAGGTGTGTACCGTGCTTCAGTCAGCTAATAAACGGCTCGACATGGCGCATTTCCTGACAGGATACCAGGTCGTACAAGGTCTGTATTCAATCTACATTTCTACGATTAGTAATAAATAAATAAATAGTCAACGTTTTTATTGCTCCAGTGAGCCGAGAGTTTAAATAAACATGCCAAGATGGCAAAGATGTTTGTTGCAGAGCAAAACTTGTTTATTTTTTCCTTTTTCTTTTTCCACGGCATTTGTCTCGTCTCTCGTCTGGACTGGAGGGCAGATTGGGAACGCAGGTTTTGGTGGCTCCCAAGCGGCCAAGCCCATAGCATAGGAAATGGCGGCAGGGAACAGCCTCCACAGCCTCGAATCACTCGCTGTCCCCTCGCCCAGTCGCCCGTGGGCCCCCGCCCGCACCTTTCATTTCTTTTCGCCCTCTCTTCTCGCTCTCATTCTCTCTCTAGACGGATGGATAGCCAGATCCAGGAACATCTTATATTCTACGGATATTAATTATATTGTTACTTAAATATTTTGTTGACGTCACGAGGTAATTATTAAAGAGAGAGAATAAAAATCATATAAACCAGATCTAAATTAGAAATCATATTTATATGAGAACCAGATATGAAGAGATATGATTGGTAGAGAATAGAAAGAATATATATAATTGGATAAAAAGTTACTCGGTAAAAACTATTTATTAGAACCATGATTTCCTATAGATAATGTCTATAGATATTAATAGAGCAGTTTCAATACATTATTAGTGGTGATTTCTATGTCTATTAATTATCTTGACAGCTTAGCTTTTTGCTGACGTGATAAAGAATGAATGAAGGGAGAGTACAAAATTGAGAAACGATTTCTTCTTGACGGAACCGAGTCGACGCTAGGAACGAGACACCGAGAACCTACCAAAACCCCGTTGGTTTCGAGCGGCCTCCATCCAGATCGAGTGCGCCGCCGCCGCCGCGCAGATGGCGCGTGCCCGCCTGCTAAGAACAGCGCTGTACAGAACGCTCGTCTCCAAGCCGAGCGCGCCGGATCCAGATGCGGTTCGCGCGAGTTCCTTTCTTGCGCGCGCTTTTTCCCTTCTTCGGCGTCCACTCCATCCTTCGCCGGTCTCAAGGTCGCAGCGGCGGCGGTTTCCGATCTCAAGGTCGCGGCAGCGGCGGAGCCCAAGAACGCGGCGGCGGCGTTGGAGCCCAAGCGCGCGGCAGCGACGACGGCCTCCACCAGTCCACCGCAGTTGGTCGTGGCGGCAACGGCAACGCGGCAGCCCCAATCCCTTCCGGTCACGACAACGGCGTTGCAGCCGCAGCCATCTCCCTTCGTCGCGGACACGGCGCGGTGGAAGCCTCCGTCCCCTTTGGTCGCGTCTACAGTTCAGCGGCGGTGGGAAAACACCAGGGTAGCCTCCTGCTAGTGTCCTACCTGCATCGACCCCCCTCACCGTCACCGAGATGACTTTCGGTGAGACATTTTTGTATTTTTGAACTGCATGCATCGATCCTCAATTTAGGGCGTGTTTAGATCCGAGATTTTTTTTCAAGTTTGGGCTACTGTAGCACTTTCGTTTGTATTTAGTAATTAGTATCTAATTATAGACTAATTAGATTTGAAAGTTTCGTCTTGCAATTTTTTACTCAACTGTGTAATTAGTTTTTTTTCGTTTATATTTAGTATTTTATGCACGTGTATCAAGATTTAATGTAACAAGTACTGTGCAAAAAATTTTAGAATCTAAACAGACCCAGTCATTGCGTGTGTTATGGTCTTCTGGAACATGTGGACTGCAGAAATGTGTCAGCGTGTGTTCTGAAATGTGGCGGCGTGTGTTCTACAGAAATAGTTGCCACAGTCGATCTATCTTTTTTTTTATGCTGTATTTAAGTTATCCTTTGTATGCACACTGCAATGGAAATCGTGGGTTGAGAAGTGTAGTTTCTACTTAGGTGGTGTTTAGTTTTCAAAATTTTGCAAAATTTTTTAAGATTTCCTGTCACACCAAATCTTTGGACGCATATATAAAGTATTTAATATAAATAAAAAATAAAACTAATTACATAGTTTAGACAAAATTTACGAGACAAATCTTTCAAATCTAATTAGACTATAATTAAACACTAATTACTAAATAACAAAGAAAATATTATAGTACTATTTTCTAAAAAAATTCGTCAAACTAAACAAGGCTTTAAATATTACCTGCTCTTTTTCTGTCCCGGAAACTACCTCTAGAAACTATCGGACTGCGAGGAGACCTGTACTAGAGCCGCCGCTAATAATCAATGGTAGTAATTTGCACGCTAACCTCGAGGCACAAAGCACCGCCCATGCCTCGAGAATTCGTGCCCGCCTGTCTTTTATTTTTGAAAAACAATTTTATATTATAAACAAAAAAGACAGCCATTGGGCAATGGTCGAGAGCTTGGCGGTACTCCCTCTGTCCAAAAGAATACAACTATAGATTACGTGTCAGCAAAAATAATTTATATTTAATTAATTTTTTAGTAAATATTATTTATATTTATAACTCCAAAATAATTTTTTTATAAAAATATATTTCGTAATTAATCTAATAATATTTATTTAATATTATAAATATTGATATTTTTTATTTATAATTAAATGAACTTGTAATACTAAACTATGACACTGTACTAGAATTATATAATTTTCTAAACGAGGGAGTACTAACCAGTAGCGAGGGCTTCTTTTTAATTTTATTTTTGTGAGCATGGAGGTCGCCTTCACCGAACAGAGGCGTATTTGTGTCGAGGCGCCTACACGCCATCCTGCAGGCTCTGTCTGACGTGGATCTGGATCACGTATTCAGATCTGACTCAGCCCCATCCATACATATATTTGCGGGCTTTTCTTTTTCGCCGGCCTCTCAATTCATCAATTGTAATTAATTAAATTATCGACGGCATTACTAATACTCCTCCTATTACCTGTAGCAGCATCCCACGTGTCAGAGGTCCGTCCGTATCTACAAACATACGGCGACAGCCAGATCCACGCGGGCCAAAAAACGCAGGACCTCTGCAGGCTGACAGACATGTTGCCTCTCCCTCCGGCGAGCAGCACGGAGCGTGCCCGTCCTGCCCCCGTCGCATTCCAACGACTCCTATTCAGGCCGGGGGCCGGGCGTCTACTACTACTTCTAATCGCGAACAGTGCCGCCATTTGTGTGGCTTGCAGCGTGCCAAGACTGCAAGACATGACCATCTATCGCGAACAGTGCCGCCATGCAGACGGTAGCGGCGACTCACACGACACGAGCCCGGTGGCGCAGGGATTTTCCAGCCAAGTTTTTGCAAGGGCCGCCGCACCGCACAGGTGGACGACATCGACACGAGGTCGGCAGGGCCGGCGGCAGGCAAGGGCGAGAGCACGCTCGCAACAGTGACGTTCTTCCCTAACGTACACTGCTGGTACAACAGTAGAGAGCATGCGCCGGCCCCTCTCCCTCTGTGCCAAACCTACACGCTTCGCCAATCTCCGTAAAAAGTTCCCTGCCCAGCCAGCCACTCTACTCCACGTGGTCCATGCATCTTCAGGGCCAACGGCAACTGCTGCCCGATAGGAATCTCTCGAGGGTTATAGTTTTATTTATGCAGCACAGCACAGCCAACATGCATGCTCTGATCGAGCATTCAAACCCAGAAACCCTTAACATGTGTAGGCAGCCATGTACAAGTCCAAAGGCTGATTATAGTATAATACTAGTTCACAAGTGACAGTGAGAGATCAGAGATGATAAGTGCCGGCGTAAACAAATGAAGGTGACTCTAAGCTTCGGCTGCCACATGAACAAAAGCCTAGCTAGGTTCAGTTTGGAGCCATGAGCCCCGCCGCCGCCGGCACATGGAGCCCCTCAATGCGGCCCAAGGGCATCTGAGGGAGATGCCCTACAAGTACTTGTTCTAATCCAGAAGCCACATGCCCCGCCAGCGTCCACGCTGGACCTGGATTTTTCCTACAAACACCACTGATTAGTCAGTGGTGATGATACAACAGGATCCTCGGTACCAATATGTCCACTAAACTAGCTGTACGTCCAACTGATCTTTGACCAGGCCGGATCCAAATCCCATGCATGGACCAACCAACAAGGTCGTGCCAGTGTTTGTGCAGAATGCATGTACCATAACAGTGGTGAAATGAGCAGAGCGCAACTTGTTAGATCATCAGAGTATAGATACGGTACCGTGAACCACGAATTCGGGCGGGAGCTGATGGAGGCTCCACACCCCTATTGTCTCTGTGCAAAACAAAAATGCTGCCGACAGACAGAACCGCCAGTCTTTTATTTTATCGTCAGTCACCTGCAACTGCAAAAGGGAAAGGGAAAGGGAAAGGGTTAGCCCAAAGGGCCTCTGGGAAAAGCACACGCGATGACACCAACGCTACATTCAGATTCAACATCATATGCCATAGAAGATGCAGTGCAGGAAGAGAAAAAAAATAGTGTGACATTACAATCTCTGCACTGCAAGAAACTAACTCCGGAGACAGAAGTTTATGACCACACTCATCAGCACAGACCACAGAGGGGGTCAAGGGTTGCAGTCTTACAAATGCTGATCTAAACAGCAATTAGGCCAATGGAAACAGCAACAAGTTGGCAATGGTCCTAACAGGATATAGTGTTTACGTGGCACTCTGCCAGCCGTTTTGTTGTTTGGGTATCAAGATACATATCACATGTGCTGACAGGGTTGCAAGATGGCCTGCCTACTTTCGGGCATCAAAGCACACAACAGCTTCATCTGCCCGTTACAAAAAGATAGTTTGGTTTAGGTCAATCCTGGGCTCAATAACAGGCAGAAGTCAGAACCTTGGCTCATTTGGTTACTGCTATTGAGTAAAAATGCAATGTTGGTCTGGTTCAAATTTCTTTATTTAAAAAAAAAACTACAAAGTTTCCCCTAGGTGCCCAAACACATTAGGCACTTAGCTTTTTTTTTCTCAGTAAAAACACATTTTGGTCTTATGCTGTAAAAATGAGTAAAAGCAAGGCCAGTTATGCTGCACTAATACTGGCTAAAATCTAACAGCATACCCTGATACTAAAATTTTAGACATGCTATACTTGCACCTAGGGGTATTGCATCACAGAAGGTTGTTATTCCACATAACCAAAGTCATACAATGTACTACAGTAATTCCGTACACTTAAGATCAGCATCCGTGAAACACAGTAAATGTTTTCAATGCGCTACTCCTACAGTAGAGCATACTGAAGATAATTAGTAGTGAGAGAGGGAGAGAGGAGATTTGCCTGTACATTTTGTTGCCGAAGAAAGAATTCCGTGAAGCAGGAGAACGAGCATTATTATTTTTACAGACTTCAATAGTTGTTAATGGCCAGCTAATAGATTGGTCGATGAGGATTGCCACGCGTAAGAACTGCACCAAAAGGAGGGCTGCAACTTCAGTCACAGCAATAACTAAAAATAGTGTTACTACTAATAGTGTGGTACATTGGAGCTTACCATCAGATAAGATGGCAGAACACTTATGAGCAAAAACTTCTCTGGAGTCTAAAGCCAGATTGGATACCAAGATTTTATCTAAGTTTTCTTCCCTGAAAATAAGTACAAACAAAATGCTGTTAGCAGGATAAATATGAATTCGGCGCTGGAACATAGAGTATCACAAGGATCCCTAGTTTCTTATCATGGCAGGACATTCTCAATTTCTATGTCATGTGGGGGCGGCAGTATGGCCGCCCGCCGGCACAGGACACGAGATGCCGCCAGGGGAGCTACCAAGGGCGTGCAAGAGCCCAAGGAGGCACAGGCGGCTGTAATCAATGGAGTTTAGGAGTTGGTTGAGAGATTAGAGTTATGGTTGAGAGATTAGAGTTAATGATGGGGAGAGAAACGAGGAGCTAGAGGTTGGGCGCCTCTACTTATACCCTGCAACCAGTTTATGATGAGGCAAGCAAGAACAAACCTATTCCTAATCTCTCTATTCTCTCTTAATCTCATCCCCTTCACCATAGGGCGTACAGGAGAGAAACCCCACGCCATTATCAACCCAAGCTACGAGCTTCGTAGTCGAGGGCCAGCTACCTTGAGCACCAACGCCCTTGACATTCTACAAGGAATGACTTTTCCATGTCTGCTTCAAAAGAGGAGCATTTGCTCACAGGAAATGTTCTAAGCAAATTCACATTAAGTTAGGATGACAAAATAAAAATAAAAACATAAGCAACTTCAACTAGAGCACAGCTGTCCTATAACAAGTTTGATAGTGTGCCCAGTGTATTATCTAATGTACTTGACTTATTTTGGAAACAGAATTGGTCATTGATAGCTATAACTTATTGGTATAGAGTACTTACTGAGCCCATGATGGAATCAACTTATGTCTACGCCTTATTTCCCTTTGATGCTCCAAGGTTTCGAAATCCTTTGCATCAGAATCTTCATAAGGTGTCATTCCATAGGACTGCGATATGTTTACAGAATGAACGTTAAGCACAATATTTCTCAAACCATAATGTTTACAAAGTTCTGGTAAATGAAAGAAAATCAAACTTTCAAAGTAGCACACAGTGCAGCTGTCGCAGTTCAGTGCCATCTGTGATGAACTGGTGGGAACACAAAGTTATGGAACCACAAGGAAAGCCACTAGATTCTGTTAATCAATATAATGCATTGTGCAAATCGAAGGATCCCACTTCTTTTCACCCTGTATTTTTTGTTCTAAAATTACTCAGCATCTCAACTGTTTCAAGTTTTGGTACCAGATGTACATGTGGACTGTGTGTGATATTTTGATGTGTACAGTCACAGAGCAAAGATTCTTTGCCATGATGTGTTCTCCTTGCAAGAGAATGACTAGATAATGTAACAATTATGCTTGTATTTGAAACTTTAGTTGTATTTTTTGTATAATTCTAATAGGCACTATAGAGAATTTAATTGGAATTATTAGAAAATTGTTGTTGGCAGGTCTAGGCAGAACCTGTCATAGGGGAACCTTCCTGGTAGTTTGCAAAAAATACAATGGAACGTAATAATTGTAGCATGCACTGTCCCTCACAACTTATAACATAGGTTCACCTGACAACTGCAATAGCTCTCACATCTAGGTTCCCAGTTAATTATATGTCATAACAATCTTGCCCTACCAAAAAATATTTTGTTAACGCTTTTCTTACTCCCTCATTAATGAGAAGAGCACTAGTTCTCATTTCCTGTTTCAGGATTAATCTGGGACTTTATAGCCTTGAAGAAAAGGAAAAGGTACCTATCCTAATGGTTCAAATTTCATATAGATAAATCAACTGAAAGAGTATACCTTATCCACATTGTCTGACAAGTTTTCCAGAACCTGAAGCCCAGAACCTGCTGATTTACAATCTGCATACATGGCCTTCACACTGTTGCTTTCAGATGCTAAAAGTCTCTGAACAGATTCCATCCTTTCATCAGATAATAATTGATTTCCTACCCTTTCAACTAAATTCTCCACAAGATCCTTGCCATCCTGAAATGATTAAAATGACTAAAAAAGATAGTTCATATAGTAATTTGAAAAGCGATGTTAGTTTCAGTATTTACTAACAGTATCTTTTGGACAGGCATCTTTCACGGTATTTGTAGAATGTATTATTTCCTCCAGCTGCTTTTGATGTTTCGGTGCCTCTTCAGCACATTTCTTTTTTCTGTCATTCTCCCTCTTTCCATCACCTTCTCTCTGCCTCTTCCTAGTAATAAAGTCTGCCCCCGTTTTCTTCTTGTGCTGCTCCACTTGTTTTTGTCTGTGCTCTTTCTCTTGCTTTAATCTTTGAAGCTCTAGTTTCACAGCTGCTTTGTGCATTTCACGCTCGGTTTGCTTCTTCTCTTCACGACGCTTTGCAGCTGCCGCCACCTTAAGTGCCCTCACTCTAACATCTCTTTTTGCTGCAAGTGAAAAGTTTCATTTATTGGATTGTCTGATGTGCCCATTCAGAAAAAGAATGTAAGCATTCTGTACAGCATCAAGCATATGAATTATGATCATAGCATCATGCAAGACTACATTAGAACACTTGCATTAAATTAAATTTCGAACTAAAAATAGTTGTAAACAGACAAACTAATGAGCTTAGGAATGAAATGATAAAGCCATCTAGCACTACCACTCACCCAAAGATTCTTGGAAGCCATACATGGAATCCATATTTTAAGGTAATTGTATACCCTGGGTTCATTAGTTACATTAGACTTGCTGCAATGACTGACCCATGCTTTTTATGATGTCATTGGCTTTATAGATGGCACTCATTTCCTTAGTGTACAACCACTTGAGGAAGTGGAGGCAGAAATAGGCTAGGGTGAGCAAGCTGAAGGACCTTAGTGGTGCTCTTTGGGGTGACCAGACTCATGCTATCATGCTTGAGCAAGAGCACTACCTTGGCCACTGCAAGGTAGCAATTTGATCTCGTCTTTGCCTTGACTAACTACATTTGCCTTTCTTAAACTACAATTGTCCAACCCTACAGGACCATCCTAAAGATGTAGAGTTTCTTAACTGCCCTATTAGGTTCTACACTGAGATGTAGGCTATCTTTGCTAATGTCATGGCCACAGGCAAGTTTGCACTTGGGTCTGGTGAAGCCTTAGGGCAGAACCAAGCTGACAGTGTTGGTGCCAAGGTTGATGGTCCTCCTTTGACCCACACCACAGTTCCCAGTGAACAGGGAGGGGATAACAAGGCCACTGAACTGCTTCCTACCTCCTCAGCTGCTGGCCCAAAGAGGAAGAGAGGGAACTTCTCTGAGGAGGAGATGCTCATGTTGACTAACATGTCAAATGCTGTGAACAATGTAGCCAATGCTCTTAGAGAGACTGGACCTGCCCATGTTGATGCCAATCTGTACCTTGCTGTGATGGAGATGCCTGGCTTCAGTGAGGAGGCACTTATTGTTGTCTACACCTTCCTCCTGAACAACAAGGCCCAAGGCAGGGGCTTTGTGAACATGAGTGATGCCCACAGGGCCCTTTGGCTTAGGACCTTCCTAGGCAAAAACTACTATGTGTAGTTCCACTACACATGAAGGGCTAGAAGGCCAGGAGGGGGTTGACTGTAGAGATGTATAGTTCCTCCACCCCCTCACCCACTCTCTCTTCTTTTGACAACAGGAGCTTTTGTGCAGTTTGCTTGTTCTTTTGACACCTGACCTTGATGGTGTTGTTTGCCTAGGAGGATGGCTAACAATAGGCAAGGATTTGGGAACATTTGAGCCCTTGGTTGTTGGACTGAACTTGGTATGGTAAGAAACTTATTTGTAGCCTCTGTTGGCTACTTTTTATTTGATAACTAGTTGCCTATTTGTGTTGTTTATGCCCTGATGGTAACTGTGGGATTTAAAGGCCTATGATGCATAAAACAAACATGAGGTGGCTGCCTTATTCTTGTTTTGATGGTTTTGTTGTTGTGCTTTGTTCTTTATTTGCCTATCCTTCCATTCTACACTTATGCTCAGTTGTACTCCATAGCAACAACATCCTCTTGTGATGGCTGATGGCAGTGAGTGTAACTGATCAAAAGGTCTGTATGGCAGTGAGTGCAACTGTTGTTTATTTACCTCTTTATTTGGTTCTTATAATTCTTGGTAGCCACCAATGACTAAACAAGGGAAAAAACCACCAAACTACTAAGTGAGGCTAATTTTTTTATCAAGTAGCCGATGATGTTCACCATCATTCAAACCAGAATGGTCGATCGAGGCATGTCATTCGACCACTTACTAGCTCTCTTACACAATCTCCACCAAATAGTTCTACTACATTTGGTTGGTTTCAGAGAATGCCTCCTTGCTATGTGGTCTTTGAAGGAAGAAACCAGGATTTATTTTACATGGTATGAGTGTGCTAAGCAAGTGCTTAGGGAAGAAGGGGCTATCTATCGTGGCCAAGTACAACAACTATGATGATGCTCTTAGAGATTTTAATGCAAGGGTACCTCAAGAACCCTTGTCTGTTACTAATTGATGCCCCTCATGGGGATGCATCAAACATCCCATGAATTGGTGATAGCTCAAGGTTCTAAAATCTATCCTCATTCACACAGGTTGCAAAGTCATTGCAAAAAATCATCTTGATCTTGTTTATGGTTGTAGTTGGTCCATCACTCAAGTCGCTTCATGTGCCACACCGTTTGTTTTAATTAGGCCGATGATGACACAATAGGATGATCGCATTAGGCGGCTACATGCCACTTTGATTCATGTACTCTCTTTTCTTTCATTAACTTGTTGCCCTTCTCGCTTGCCAAACTACTTAATTCTCTTGTTTTAATTTGCTTCTTTGATTATGCAATGTAGCCGGCAATGTATGTGTTGATTAAATGAAATTAGTCTGAGGCTTATGCCTTTTGTACATTTTCATTCAAAGTGTTGGCTTCTCTATTGATCATCTTTGTTCTTCCTTCTCTTTGGGCCGGTAGAAACACATGGCAAACACAATCTGTGTTTCGGCGCATTGGTGGCGATTGACGCGTTGAGCCCTACAACGCATCAGAGTATTGGTCACAAACACCACTTCGCCTAAGGTTCAATGAATCGGGTCTGTGTGTTAGTAAACAAGTCACTGCGTTACATGCGAAAGCTTTAAAACCCCTTGATAACGCTTGGTGAAGCCATGTTTGGCTTAATGGCTAGGCTAGGTCTTTGGTCCAGTGCGCAAACGCGCCCTAAAAGTGTCCATGATCCTTTCATACTTGAAATGGTGTATTTCAGCCTCGCTGAGTTTCGTTGGAACGAATGTCATGTTAATAGCTTCAAGCAACCGTGGACCTGCATGTGCATTTGGTTCAATGATAATGTTGGTAAGCAGTGTCATCATTGCTAATCCAAAGATTTTTCTCAAATCTTTCTAAGGCACTCAAAAGGGTAAGCAGTGTCATAGGTCCATAAAGACAATAATACCTCATGTAGGACGGCTGTCTATCCAAATGCTCTAATTAGTGGGCCACGAAACCAACGACTCCCTCCTATCCTATCCCATCATATCCTATCTTCTCGTCCACTCGTTTCTCCATCCTATTCTATCTTTTTTTCAACTTCCATCCTATCCTATCTGCTCATCACTTATTTCTTTAGAACCAGTCATGCAGAAATCACCGTAGCGTCGTGACCGTGCTCCGTCGCGCCTCCTGCCCGCCTTCCTCGTGTCTCCTGCCCGCCGCGACCGCTCGTCTTCCTCCTAGCACTTGTGACGTCCTCGCCTTGGTCTAGTGCCAGATGTGGCTGCCTCTTTGGCCGCTTCCTACGCCATCCCATGGCACAACCCTCTGCCATAGGCATACACAGCCGCGTAGCCCTCCTGGTTGTTATGGCGTCGTGCTGTGCCAGCTGCCTTGATGCGCCTCTGCCTCCTCCTCGCATAGATGTCTTTCGTGCCGCCGTACTGATGGGCGGCTTGCTCGTGGATGATCTTGGATAGGAGCGGCATGGTGGCTTAGGCGTGGTGAGTGCATGCGTAGCTCTTGATGCTCCTCTCCGCAAGCGACAAGCAAAAAGAGATGTTGCGCAAAACGCATGTTGCATTGTATGTTTCAGATGTTTTAAAGATATGTTGCAAGTGTTTCGCATGGATGTTGCAAAAGTAAATCGGGATGTTGCATATGTTACAATGGCTATACACGCATGTTGCAAGAGTTTGTTCTAAATGTTTCATCTGTTTCTCAGTCATATGTTGCAAACGTTTTATCTGGATATGGCATATGTGTCACGCATATGTTGCAAGTGTTTTATTTGGATGTTGCACATGCTTGCAACGGCTTTCAAGTGTTTTCATACGTATGTTGCAAATGTTTCAGTTGTTTCGGACGTATGTTGTATATGTTTCATCTAGATGTTGCAAAAGTAGATCGGGTGTTGCATATGTTTCAATGGGCCTCACTCGTCGATGGCGCCTGCTGCAGCTGCTAGGGCATCGTGCATACGGTTCCTGTGTGAAGCGGCGTGGGGAAGCGCAAAGAGCACAGAGCAATCCCGTGTGCTCGATGTTTCACGGAGTGTGTGCGTGGTCCCCACGTGCGCACGGGAAGCGATCTTTGAAAGCAGGCGATTCATGTGTCTTGCGGCGGATGGTACGGCAGCGGCTTTCAAGCGACGCGTCCCAAAATGCAGCGAGCGGACGTCCGGCCAGCTAGCGCATCTATCCGGAGGTCCAGACGCTAGCATCTCGCTAATAAAGATGAACATACATGCGTCTAGTACTTTATTTGGGATGGCTTGTTTATAGCGTGAGGCTCTAAAATGCAGACATGTAGTGCATAGTACTCACTCCGTTCTAAATTATAAGTCGATTTGATTGTTTTGGTACATCTATTTTTCTATGAATCTAGATATAATAATATGTCTAGATATATACGTAGCAAAATGGACGAAAAAAAATCAAAACGAGTTGTAATTTGAAACGGATGGAGTAATACAGTATACTCGTACTAGTGGGCCTATATAATAACATTTAAAATGGGCCAGGCCAGACTGCAATTAAGCACCTGAGGGTGGTTGGGCCAAGCATAATTTGTCAACAGGTCCAGTTCTCCCCACTCGGCGCCAAAGCAAAAATTTAGCGTGGCTTCCGAAACTCCCGCCCAGATTTTCGGCTTTCGACTTTCTGAGGACATCGCGCCCAAGCGGCCCAAAAGATTGAAATTCAAGCAACCAAGACGCTCGAAACTGAAGCCATGTTGATATTTCCAGCACAGTGAGGAATCGCTGAACGGCTAGCATTTTGCTGCGTGCCAAATCTCATATCCCACCAAGGCAACCTCAAGTTCAGAAACTGGAAATTAAACCCAAACAGAATGCAGAGAACTTTGCGTTAGGAGATGCCGAGTTCAGTAGAGAAATTGGAAGTGACGCGGACAATTTGAAACTTATGCGATGTGGGGGCGAAGTTTTGAATGCTACAGTGAACAAAATCACTCGCAAGATGCCATGTTTACAACACAGCGAAGAACGGGCGTTTTGCTGTACTAAATCTCAATCTCCCAACAAGCCACCTCGAGTTCAGAAAATGGAAATTGACAACAGGCCGCAGGAAAATGATAACAGGACACGAAATTTCCCAGTCAGCGGCAAATACAGGTTCAGAACGAAAGCAAAATTCAGTGAAATACAAGGATAGATTTCACATATATTTGCAATCAGAAATTGCAAAGATGAACAGCCACAGTACCACACCAGGTTACTTCTTACATAAATCAGACGACTAGAGATGAACAAAGAGCAGACGCAGGGGCAACTACCGCCGCTGCAACACACGACCACACTACTACTTCATGATTCCTGAACGGAACTGAGGCAGATCCCATCGCTCGCCTAGGAGCTGGTGAACTTGGTGACGGCCTTGGTGCCCTCGGAGACGGCGTGCTTGGCGAGCTCGCCGGGGAGGACGAGGCGGACGGAGGTCTGGATCTCGCGGGACGTGATGGTGGGCTTCTTGTTGTAGCGCGCCAGCTTGGCCGCCTCCGCCGCCAGCTTCTCGAAGATGTCGTTGATGAAGGAGTTCATGATGGACATGGCCTTGGACGAGATGCCGATGTCCGGGTGCACCTGCTTCAGCACCTTGAAGATGTAGATCTTGTACGACTCCACCGACTTCTTCGCCCTCTTCTTGCCCTTCTTCTCGCCGCCATCCTTGCCGGCGGACTTGCCCGCCGGGAGCCGCTTCTCGGCCTTCGGCTTCTTCCCCGCCGGGGCCTTCTCCGCCTTCTCCGTCGCCGGCTCCTCCTCCGCCGGCTTCTTCGCGGCGGGCTTCTTCTCGGCCTTGGGTGCCATCGGGATCGGGCGGTGGGTTCGGGATCGAGCTTCTTCTCGGCGGGCTGGGTGTGGCGGTGGGTGCTTGGGGATATATTGTTGCTGGAATAATGGGAGGAACAAGCCTGCTGGGGGCGCGACTTTATAGGGGGTGGGCGGTGAGACGCGATTGGTGGGAGGGTGCGAGCCGCGGATCGCTGGCGTGGAGGGGTGCGATGGGGTTCGGCCGTTCCGGTGGACGAACGGGATGCAGATCGACGCGGATCGCT